ACACACAACTTTTTCCCTCACACACAACTTTCAGAGCATGTATTCATGTTATGCACACATGTAATGGATAGCACATGGTGGATGCTAAAATAGGGAGAAAAATTTTGAGGCAGGCTGGTCTCTCAGCAAGAAAAAGCAGAAGAATCTGGGGTTTGAATATCGGGCAAGTCATTCCTAAGACCCACTGGAGTGTTGGATATGAATCTGGCCCAGTTTTCTTTGCACCACATCCTTATGAAAGTGAAATTCAAGCATGAAATTTTTAAAATAATAGTAAAGTGGTTACAATTATAATGAAATACTTCCCACCAATAGAGAAATTATGGTCAAGCAAAGACAAAAGATCATGATTACATTCTGAGGAATACACTAAATTATAGTGGTAAGGCTTGAAACAAACCCAAATTGAAACGAGTGAACTCATTCAACATGTAACCGCGAGTTATTTGACGTGAAATGGAATATCATTGAAAATCTAATGTTCACTGACTCGAGTTTGGTATGTATCCGGCGCTATAGGGTTACAGGTGAGTATACAACACTATATGTTCAAAATATTAAGAAGTCTTAGTGTATTATTTATAGGATCTGCCAAGTACCCCATACCCATGTGATAATCTGGCTCAAACGGGTAGGTATTTCGTTATATAAATGTGAATAAAAGTTGAAGATGAAGAACACAAAACTATAGAGGTAAAGAAATATTTTCTGCGATAGAAAGAAGCCCCTTTGGGAATACATCAAAGATATACAGCGTCTACCTGAACAAAATGGGGACAAGTTCAACCTCGAAAATTGGAAAACCTTTTCGCAACACCTTCTTAACCACAGGCATTAGAGGTGAATTCTGTATAATATTGACTTTTAACGGTAAATCACTGCTTTCTCTCCACGTGACATGGTCCCCATTCCCAGTTCGAGACCTTTGGGTACCTAAAGTTGGTGAAAATAAGAATCAAGATTAGAATAATCAGATCTTTTGTCACATACCAAAATCACATTTTATTTAATACCAGAAGTCATGGAAAGTAAGCTGGGAAGTTTAAGATTTAGCAAGCTCGCCTTCAACCAGAGCTCTATCCTTCACCACTAACTAAGAAAGAAACAATACCCCTCGCAGTTATCAAAAGTAATTACAAATCCTATCTCTTTCCATGGATGAGGAAGGTCTTTTAGGTTTCCACTCAGGCTACTGACTCCTTGAGGGCAATGCGATTTCGGAAGGTCCTCTGCATTGTTAAGAAGTGCCATATGATTAGTTAGTTCGAAGCATGGTAGGCAGTTATAATTTCACTATTAATCAACAACTATTCGTTCAAATCTTTTTCATCTTCTTCTTTTAATACTGTAACATTTGTGGTTATACAGTGAAAGTTAACGACGTGATTGATTAGTAAACTAAAATTGAACCACAGATACCCTCTCCCCAAGATCACTTAATGTGACTTCCCGCGAATCTGAAAAGTTTCCGTAAATTGAGAGCTTGAAAACATCATCAGGCAGCAATATACTGCTGGTACTGTGATTTTTTCAATCCTTTTATGCTATTTTTTCCTCATTCAAACTTCGAATATCTACCCCACTTTATTTAGATCCTGAGATTTAAGTCTAATTTCTTTTTTATTTCTTTCCTTGGAAAATCACTGCTTGGGTAGAGAAACAGATTTGTTGATATTCTATAAGAATCAAATCAAAGTATATGAAAACGGTCTCCATATGTTGCTGCTCAACGTAGATAGTTCCATCGCGGATAAAAGAAAAAGAACCAATAAGAGCTATAGACATATGTTCAATCGGAAGATTAGTTCAAACGGAAACTAAGTGTTTAAAGTATCAAAACCAGCTCCATTCCTACCACTTATTGGAGAATAAAGAGATAACAATGAAAAACTACGCCTTAGTTCCAAACAAAGTTGGGATCAAGCGAATATTATACGACAAAGACAATTCTCAAAAAATAAATTAGAAATATACTTAATACAATCAAACGGCAAAAGAAAAGTTTGTGCATGTACTTGATGAAGAGTAAGGTTATTGCCATTGACCTTTTAATAAATTTTTTGCTCGTGTTTTCCTGAAATGATTAAATAGACATTGATAAGTGACAGTGCTGCTTGCAATTTCAGACGGGCTTCCACGAGCAATAAATCTACCTTCAAATTATAATCCAATCACCCAATATAATAAATTAGATATTTTAAAAAAAAAGAATGTAGAAGTTGGTTCACCAATATATGGGCTCAATGTGAGCCTTTTATTATCCTTAGTAACAGTTGCATCAATCATGGCAATAAAAAAGATGATTGTAGCGTTTGATCACCACTACTCTTATAATAATATTAATGAAGATTGCAAGTTATATAATTTTTGCACTCCATTTTCAATGCGCTTAATCACAGAAGAGTTTATTCTTTTTACAAGTTTGACCTTCAAGCAAAAATTTTGGCTCGCCCACGATTTATATAGATCAACATCAAATTCAAGAAAAATTATGTATAAACAGAGAAAATATATTTCTTCTGATGATAAATTTCAAGTCACACGATCCTACAGCTAGGAGAGCGCGTCAACATCTCTTCCAATATTGGCAGAAATTACTGATAAAATGGTCACGCCCTTTGCAAATTTACTTCCCCATAAATTTCCAAAAAGCAATAGAGCAAAATGCCACAAACAACTAAATTCAATGTTTAAAGGAAAAGATAAGGGCTAATAATAGAGAAAATTGTTCATATATATCTACATTGCTTGCATGCAAATTCCGGGGAATCTCTAGAAAACCATAACAATTCACCCACTCTTATAATGGCTCATAGTTTTAAA